CTGCTGACTGAGGTCCCAGAAGATATTGAAGCCTCTTTGCTTTTGCTGTGATTTGGAACATCCAAAAGCAGATCTTTTATGAGTGGATTAAGATTCCAGCACATAAATATTTCCAGTGGTCAGGAGCAGTGGTTGCTAGAAGAACTTTCTGGTACAAATACCAGCTTGCACAGCCTCTGGCCTGGCTGTGATAGCACAAAGGTATGTGGTGCTGTTCAGTGAACTAGGTAAGGAAACAGCCTTTTTTCTTCTTCCCAGGAGGTATTTTGTGCACAGATCCATCTTCTATATTTTGCCACATAACTTTGCTAAGGCCTGGCCATCATGGACACAGGGAACAACTGGGCAGGGGAGGAAAAGTATGCCTGAGACTGGCCTATTGGTAATACCACTGCTTGTATAGTCATGGCTGGATGTGGCCTTTGTTCAGAGATGGTGCCCAGGAATGAACCTCTTTTGATGTATTTTTTTTAATTACTTCTCCTTGGATTGCTCCCACATTTCCATTTCAATTATTTAGCTCTAAGAAAGAACAGTGATAATTTTATTTTTAGTTACTATATGCAATTTGATTATATTTTGCATTTTATTGAGACAATGGTAATTACTTTAGTGTCCATGGTGACAAAATATGCTAGCACAAACATGAAGAGACCTTGGTCTGGCAGCAGTTTCCTTATTGTGTGATCAGTTGCTCCTTTGAATTAAAGGTGTATTTGCCTCCAAATGATTGAAACAAACTGCATGAGTAGCTGTATCACTTGTAGTCTTCGAAAGTTCTTTGCAAGCCTTTAGGGTCCTTTTTCCAGTTGTTTTTTTGAGGCAACTTAATGGAAGTGTAACGTTTTAACTGCCTGCTAACCCAATTTTCAGTGTCTATTATCTGTAAAATACTAGACATGCTGGAGAGGTGTCTGCTTCCATCACATCAAATATAACTACTGTTTTCACAACAGTAGTCCTGTACTCACTGCCTGTGGAACAGAGTTATGAGAAGATCTCTACTGTTGTTATGAGGGGCACTGCTGGTCCCTGTGCCTTCTGACACCCCATTTAGTTTTCTTTCTTGGGCAGTATGTAGGTTTCTCTCATATCAGTTACAACATCTTGCTAATTTATCTTCTGCATCAAATATGAAAAGAAAAACAGGCAGCTATTTGTGCTGTATTAGAAAAAGTGATGTTTCCTTGTTGGTTGATTTTTATTGCCCAAAAGGGACTTTGATCTCACCAGCTGAAAGTGATAAGAGTGTTACATAGTCTGTGGATTGCTCTTAAAGGCTTATTCCAGTCTTTTGCCACCTTCTCTCTGAAACATTTGTCAAGATAACAACTAACTTAGGATATGGGGAATGAAATGATTCTGTGCAAGTATTGTATATGAGAAACGACCACCTGGTTTTGCCTTCACTAGGATATTTTTTTGTGTAGTGCACATGGCTCTTCCTAGATCACTGGTTTTTGCTTTGTTCGGCTGGGTGACATTCATCTGTCTTGATGCACAAAGTAAGTAGTGTTATTTTTATACATGCTCGTGAGTCTGTTCCTGTTTTGACTGAAATTGCACAAAATTAAATTTATTAAATTCATATAAATCACAATCCTAGAAGTTTAAAACGTGTTGGTCTGTTAACTGTTAAAATAACAACATCTAAACAGCCAATCATCTTCTCAGCGCCCATGGAAAGTCTGGACTTGGAGAGACTTTGCAATCACAAGCTGAAAACCACTGCTCTTGAACATACACTGGGTTTTTACAAGTTCTCTGTGAACTTTTTCCAGGTTTGGTTGTGTTATATCTGCAGCAGACATTAAATGAAATAGCTAAGTTGAAGCTGAGCCCAAGGATGTATAGTTTTGAAGTGGATGTATAGTTTTGAAGTGGATGTATAGTTTTGAAGTGGATGTGTAGTTTTGAATTCCTTGCTGCTGTTGTACTGCTAAATGAGATTGGTGTTACCATGTTTACATCTGGTACTTGTTGCAGTGGTAAGGACTCCATGAAAAGTTCTCTTTGGTGTATTGAAGAGAGGGCTTCCAGAAAGTGGCAACTGTGACGTCCATTAGCTGAACCTGGGAGCAGAAACAGTCTCTGCATGCACAAGTCTAAACTTGGGGCCTTAATATGATTTTGGTCCTCCAGCCTTCCTGGAGAATCTTTACACCAGTGAAAATGCTCGAGTGTCTCCCCTTTGTTCCTGATAGCTCAAGAGGATGGCTGAGGGAACTTTCTTCTTTGTGAGCAAAGCAAAAAGGGGTTTTATTTAATATTATTGAATTGACTTTATTCAACTGTAATGTAACATTTCAATCACTTAGAAGCTTCCAGTTTTTTGATATTTTTCAGTAGTCCCTGCTTTCCAAAGTAGGCTTTTGAATACTTAAGGGATGGAGGCAGCAAATTAGATCCATAACCAGCAGCTGCTGACTGTGGAAGTGTTCTCTAAGGTTTTGTTCAGTTACTTGTGTAGAAATCTATCTGCTGCTCACTGACAAAGGAGATCCTACAGAGTGGTACAAATACAAAGACATCTACTTAGCCAGGCAAAAATAGCCCACTGCTTCTTTTCCCACCTACCACTGTGAGTATATAGTAAGGGTGGCAAGGAGAAGAGTGGGGACACTCTTAGCATGGGTGCAAACCCACACAGAAGACCACAAAAGTTGCACTGGTGTCTTTAAGAACATAGATTGCACTATGGCAGCTTTGCTGAGTAATTTTGGTGAGGGAAGGAGGCAAAAAATCTGGTGATTTTAGGGATTTCTCTGTGTGTAGTTTGTAGATCTAGGAAAAAAGTCTCAGTTTTCATCACAGGGAGAAAATGCAGAGAGGTGTCACTGAGGTACAGTAAAGCCTTTATTAAAGCCACTTCTCAGGGTAAAATCTGTACTTCAAAAGTGTCAACTTCCATAAAAGTTTAAGAATAAATTTCAGGTAAGTCTCTCAATGTGGCTTTACCCTAAGCTCTTAGCTTCTTGCTGACATTTCAGTGTGAATAGCTCTGTGCTTACAGTTTTCTTGGGAGTAGAAAAGGTTTCCAAGGCCAGGGTACAAAAGCAGTTTCGATTATGTTTTCCGCAGACATTTTAGTGGGAAAAGAGTGATTCATTATTGTCAGGCAATAAAGCCAAGTTCTGGTCAGGGTACAAAGGAAGGACAATTCTGGAGACAGATATTTTCACATCCTTTTTTTGATAGCTGCTTTTTAAGTTGGAAAGTCCTTCATTGTAGACTATTTTTAGGCAAGGATAGACTGAGTCCGAGACACCATCACTTACCTACTCCCTAATTATGTTATATTGGTTTAAACACTGAAAATTGTATCAAGGTGCCACCCTAATAAATATCTTTCAGCTTAATTTGAACTAGTTTGTTTATCTGGTTTTGTATAACATAAGGTTTTTTTACCTTCTCCTATTTCTGGAAGTAGTTCCTCTGTGTCATTTGTACGTGACTTTTCCTTTTCTTTTTAGAAACCACAAGTATAAATTGTGACACAATACCCAGCCCACTCGTGCTGTCAAGCTTTTTGGATGAATATGCAGGTAAAATCATGATTCTACCCTAGAATTGTCTGATTTGCTCCCTAACGTGCATAGTGCTTTAGTACTTCATGTAGTCAGTGTAATTCATAATGCATCTCTATTATTAATTGATTTACAATAGTCTTCATGGCTGGATGCAGCAGCTGCCTACGTGGCATACTGATCAGTACAACAAATAGACATAAACCCCCAAATTCCCTGATCTAAAGATCTCACTGTCTGAACAGGCAGAGCAGGCAAATAGGAAACAAGTACAGAAAAATTAATGGATGTTTACAGTTTACCTTGTCCAGTCAGCACAGAAGAGCTGGTCTCTTCCTTCCCTCCTCCATGAGAGGGAACCATTGCCACCACAGTCCCGCTCTGCTCCAAACTGGAGGCTCTCTGAAAGCCAATTTTTTGTTTTGTTGGGGAGGCAGGGACAGGAATAGAGGTGCAGAGGAACAAGCAGGCTTGCAGTACAGGAACTCCAGGATCAATGCTGGCCATTCCATACGTTTCCATTACCTAGTCTGGCTTTCTTTGTTAGTGTAGCATGCTCTGTATTACTTTGAGGGTTGTTTAATTTGTGCAGCCTGACAGGGTTAATGTTCATTTATCCCTACATTTGCCTTGGAGTCCTTCTTGACTTGGAGAAAAAATCTCACACTGGGGGAAATACAGTGACTTCAAGAGGGCACAGTTTGTGGTTTTTTTTGTGTGTGTATTTACATTGCAAATGCAGTACAGAGGATAACTCCCTCTTTCTTTCCTCCCACCACTGACCAGAGAGGTTACTATTGTTAGCTAAATGGTAGGGCTGTTGTCTGTGACTATGCTGTTGTCTGTTAGAGGCAGCCCCAAGTCAGGAGTTGACTTGCTTAATGGAAATGCAGCAATCTCACAGGGCAAAGTGTTGGGTAATGGCCAAAACGTTCCCTTCAGGTTGTCTGTTAGAGGCAGCCCCAAGTCAGGATTTGACTTGCTTAATGGAAATGCAGCGATCTCACAAGACAAAGTGTTGGGTAATGGCCAAAATGTTCCCTTCAGGACATGTCATAACCCTTAGGATCTCATGTACCTGCTGAAATGCCTGTAATGAATAAGCAAGAGGGACAACCAGCTTTGGTTTTTCCTAGCACTTCCTATTTGTCAGGCTGCCTCCATTGGACAGAATACTATTTCTTGGGCAGCTGCTTGACACTTGTCTGAATGTATCCAGCTCTGGATGGAGGATTAGAGGGTATATCAGCAGATTTTTGTTTTCCTACAATGTTTTCTTCCAGGAGTTTCAGCACTGCACACAATAGTGTGATAGCTCACAACGCCGTGCCCCTGAGACACAGCCCAGTTCTGAGTTTTCTTCCAGGAGTTTCAGCACTGCATACAACAGTGTGATAGCTCACAACGCTGTGCCCCGGAGACACAGCCCAGTTGTTCTGTGCTTACTGCCATCTGACTGGACTTTCTCCTGTCACACAATCATAGCCCAGTATCTCTGGGCTGGTAGCTGACAGCAGTTCAGACACTCCCTGCTCTGTACCATTCCTTTAGGCACTTAGAGACCAAGACCACAAGTCTGCATATGGAGATCAGACTGTTACAGCCTGAATTTGTAGTGCTGGAGTACAAAAATGATGAAGTAGGGAAGAAACACAGCTAACAAGTTTCCTGAAGATCATGGGAAATATTTGGGATGTTCAGGAAAGATTTTGGAGGGGAGAAGAGAGATTATGGGTTTGCAATCCAGACAATGTGTTCCTCGAGAAGATAAATTTTATTTCATAAACACAAATATCTTGATGTGAGTGAGGTAACTTTATTTAATAAAATTTCTAGTAGCACCACACTGGATGGTTTAAAAGGATGCATTTCAAACATAGGTTTGGTGTTTAACCAAGCAGGTAATACACTCACTCCTGAAATGATAGTGACTCTAATATGAATCATTATAATTACAGATAACAAGTTTTAATATTTTCAAGAGAGTAGCTCTTAAATGCATGGTTGTAGAAAATCACATTCAAATTGACTCAAAGGTGGCATTGTTCTCTGTTTCAGTGTTTTGTACATAGAGGAACAGATCCAAGGAGGGGCTGTACACTTATAGTCTGTACCAAAATCACAATTTAAACAACCACAAGCCTGAATCCAGACTCACACTGGATTCTAACTTCTTAGTAGATTGAGCTAAGAGAGATGAAATGCTTTTGTGCTTGGAAAATAGTAACACTCATCCCATGCAGCCCTGGCTAGCCTCTCACTGATTTTTATTATGTTCACTGACTGATTACAATGTGATTGTGTTTTCACACTCAAATGGTGGAAATTTAGGTGTAAATTATGCCAAACTTTTTAATTCTGGACATATTGATACAGAGTGTGGATATACTGGAAAAAGGGGGTTTGTGTGATTTTAAAAACACATCAATACACGTGTGCACAGCACTTAAGGGGACTTTAACAGATCTCATCATTTAGCTGAAAATGCCAAAATAATATAAAATGTAACCAAAGGTAACCAGTAATCTAGTTGTCAAGGCATATGAAGCCAGCCTATGGATTTCTTTCTGCTAAAGCAATCTAATTTGTTACATTGTCTCTTTCAGGTGATATAGAATGGATTACAAATATTCCACCCGATGTAGATTTGAAATTAAGAGAGTATCTGTTCCCTGAACACTTAGAGTATGTGGAGCTGGTATATCATCCTGGATCCAAAAATGCAACAGTCAGGACTCTTAAGGCACTGGATGTTGATTCTATTGAGGTATTCTTTTCACTGGATGCAAAACCTAGATATAAATGTTTTCTTGACAGGTGAAAACCAGCAGCACTTAGACATAAGTTTTAATTCTTTGTTCTCTCACGATACATGTTGGTATCTCAAAAAAAAAGTGGCTCATCAGAAAGAGCAGCAGAGACTTTCAGTATCTACCTCTCAGTAATATCTGTTAAAAAATCTTCAGTCTCCTATAACTGTAAACTATCTGGCACCTGACAGTCAGATTCTTTCCTAATCACCTATTGTCACTTGTAATGAAAGGTGCACGTACACAGTTATGATAGGTGTCACTTTTCTTAAAACTCAGCTCTCACCAACAGGAATTATTTCATCAAAGCCAGATGGATCAGATATCAACCCTTAATCCTATGAATATTTACACAAGTGCTTATCTTCACACACGAGTAGATCCGTTGCCCTCTGTTGGTTGGTGCACAAAAGGACAGGTCCTCCTCCTGAGGCCAGTCTTGCTCTGTAGGACTATCAAGAATCTGTAGAACAATGTTAATGTTATTCCTGGCCAGTTCTGCAGAGTAAGTGAAGGCTATTTTTTTATAGAAGTACTTTTTCAGAGTAGCACTGAATTTGACAAACTTGAACCACAGAGTTTTTTAAAAACAACTGTTCCAATCAAGACCTCTAATTGATGAAAACCTACTTAGAACTTTTACGTTCGCATTTCTCATTTGGGTATTTTCCAAAAGGGTTTAAACACTCTTTAGGCTTCTTACACATATTCTCCTTTTGTGTGTCAGTTTTCTGTCAGGGAGAACAGTCAGGTAGAGGGATGGTGGGTGGATACCAGCAGCAGATGAATGGCAGCCAAATAAACTTTACAATTAATGATCAATAATGACTTTGCTACATAAGGAGGGTGTTTTGGCACAACACACCTGAGGATTCAAGTACTAGAAGCTGTTTTGTGTAATTTTGACATAAATGTTCTTTGACCACCATATTAGGATATTATATATTACAATATTTATTTGCTTTTTTTGTTAATTTTTAGAGTGACCATCTCTTCTATGCTGTTGTTTGCCAAAGGTTTGGAACAGTAAGTAAAAGTCATGTTTTATCAACTGTATTTTTTGTGGAAGTTTAATGGAAATGATTATTTTCTGAAATGCTATTTCACTTAAAGGTGTGATGCAGGGAGGTAAGAGTACCTTGTAGAAATTACATTTGTTTAAACATGTCTCACTGCTGTCATTTCTGACATGTCTTTGCTTCTCTCATTACAAAGATTAATGAGGTAGAGAACCCACGGGACTTACTCTTACAAGATGTAAATGACAATTCTCCAGAATTTAACCAAACTCACTATAGTGCTTCTCTATCAGAGGTAGGTTATGGCAAATGTTAATATTTTTTCTTGTGGTGTTTTAACGTTACTTTTTGGGGCCAAAATCTAAGAGGTTCTAATGTGCCCATGCTGATGCTAGATGACTACATGCACTGTTATGGGACTTTGAACACCTTCCTGTGTGTGGGGAGAGGGGTGGCTGGGTTGCATGTACAGCAGGAGGCGTGGGGTGAAGAGGAAACATTCAGCTACCCAACCTAAAATGGAAACTGGAAGTTGGAGGTGGCACATCTTTCTTGCCCAAAGTTAGGAAGGATACCAAAAAGAGGCTTGTGACTCGATCTTTATTTCCTCTAGGTGTCTGCAATAAACTCAGTGGTTATAAAAGTGGAAGCAGTGGATAAAGATTATTCACCTTTGTTGAACCTCATTACTTACAGTCTTTGGGTGAGTGCTCTTTGTTTGTCAGAGACTGTGAGCACCAGTCTACATTTCATACCAAGTAGAGCTCTCTTGTACTGTGCAGTTAAGATTACAAATCTGGAAAAAGCATCAGAAAGACCATTTAAAATTAGAATGTATACCACAGGATCAGCCTAACATGCAGTGAGCCCTTAATCCTGTTTCTTAACATTTCATGGCACTCTTCAGCTACAGCTAAGGAACTTGGTGGTCCTTTTTAGAAGCAGGAGTGAAACAGCTTCCCATCTTTTTAAAGTTTGCATTTGATTTGCTGTCGATCTCCAGTCCTGCTGAGGTCTATGTTCAAGCCACCTGAAGTAAGATTATTTCAATTAACTTTAGATATCTGCAGTGGAAATCTTCACATCTGAGCTTGCTGCCTTTGCTCATGTGATAGCTGGTGAAGGGAAGCTGATGCCATGGTCTGCTTGAGTTATTGACTGTAAGATGAGATAAATTTGATAGGAAGTTTAATGGCACTGATGGGAGAGGCAATAGAATGTGTTGAAGATGATCAGCATTTTCCTTTCCAGTGCTAGTGTTTGAGAGATTCCTGGTACTTTATGAAGATTAGTCAAATAACAAAGGTGAAAAGATGTATTAATCATGTAAAATATGTGATTTATTCATTTAATAGGGTCCAAACTCTGATTACTTTTATATAAGGGAAGGAGATGGAAACATCATGGTGAATAAAAAACTGGATTACAACAAGATCAACCTTTTCAATTTAACAGTCCAAGCAAAGGTATGTTATAAATAAAAGAAGAATAAGAACCATGGTAGTTTTACAATGATATTTTCTTTGTTCTAACATCCCAGTTTCTACAAAGTTACAGCTTGGGGAGTTGCAGAGACAATTTTTGGCTTAGCATCTTGATGTATACTGTGGATGAAGTAGCATATCCTGAATATTTGAGCCATTGTTTAAGTCTCCCCTCAAATGACAGCCCGTTTCCTTCTGTATTTCTTTAAATGTGTATATTGTACATATTTATTCTCCACTATTCTAACTATTCATTCTGGTAGATCTGTCCTATTTTTCCTGCATCTTACCACCTGCAGTCTTTTTGTGCTTGTTTTTTTTTGAGATTTGAATGTTTTCAGTTCTTTGTAGAACTAAGAAATCATTTTGCCATGTTGATTGTGGTATCTAGCAAATACTACAGCTGCAGCAAATGGACTGTTCCTACCCTCTGCATGGTGCTACTGTGTAACACCTGCCTGATATAAAATGAATAACTAAGAGCAATTATTTTTTTGATAGTATTATTCCTAGAAGTAGATTTCTAGAAATGGAAAAATCTGACAGGGTGAGAGTTCTGAGGTGAAAAATGCTTAGACACTACAAAGCACATACAACAATGTTCTCCTGTGTTTTCCACTGAGAAACAGCTAGTTCATTACAATGTTTTTTCTTTTATTCTTTCTTTTGGAATCCAGGAAAGATTTGGAAACAACAGTGGTACTGCATCGTTACTGATTCACATACAAGATTATGATACATTGAACCCCTATTTCAGTCAGTCAGTGTACAATGGAAGAATCAGTGAAAAACAGGTAAAAGCTTTTCACTGAATGCTGCAAACATAAATAAGTTATTCCTGCCCACAACCCTTTTCTTTCAAGGTTTTTTTCATTACTGAAGCTTAAGATGGAGAGCTGCTTTGTTTTGTGCTAACTGATGAATTGCAAGGTATAGTATAACCAAGTAATCCACTAAAATTAAAATGGTTCATTATCTTCTTGATTATCCCAATTTCTTTATCATTCTCTTCATGTTACATATTTTAAACCACTGCTGCTTTTGCTGTTATACCTTTGGTGTCTCTTTTGTTAGAAGCTCATCTTTAATTGCCTGAAAGGAATCATTTTAGATCTTCTAAGAAGTTTTTATCTGTTAAATAAATTACTGTTTTTATTAGGGCTGTAGTGTAGTCCTGCATATTGTTTTCTAGGAGAGGAATGGAACTGAAATATTTGGTGTTCTTAACATGAATCCTGTCAGTAATTACTGCTTCATAGGCTGGTGTTTCTCAAACACAGTGTAACCATTAAATATCTTGGTCATCATTTTTTTCTGTAAAGCATGTGTGGCAGAGAGAGAAATTTTTCTGGATTCCAGTGATTGCATACATGTTTATTGATTAATGAACAATTTTATGTGTATTTTTTTCAAGTTAAGCAAGTTAATATCTGTTTTCTAGTTGGGTCCTCTGGCTATTCTCCCAGAGAAGATATTGGCTAAAGATGGAGACAGAGGTATAAATGAAAAAGTGCTTTACAGCATCAAGCTAGGTAAGAGCCTTTATTTTCTTCTAGACATTTACAGAGCAATTTATGACATCTATGTTACTAAGGAGAATAAGGAAGTCCAGTGTACAGTCAGATGTCTTAACTGCCTCCATCTTCACTACAGTGCTGCTTCATGAGCTAAATCAGCCTAATTTCAACCATTATAGCAAGGTCCAACTATCTTAAAGATGTTTAGATGTTCTTAACCTCCCTCAAATAAACAATTTGTGGTTCAAAGTGTAAGTTGGTTTAGAGGCTTCCATTTCATCAAAGGGTTTCTATTGAGGACCATCTAGAGAGATCAATTCCATCAGGAGCTTTTCCTTCTTCTGAGAGAATTGCTAAAAGCCTGTGAGATGCTTCATTTGAGTGAATTTCCTACAAATTGTTTTGCAGACAGAATATTTGAAAAAAAAAAAACCACCTTTATCTGGAATGTCTTCTCATTTTTGCTGTGGCTGAGAAGACAACAGCTATAAAAAGGACAGATGAAACTTACTGTTGTGGTTCATTCTCATTAACCCACTGCAATCTGTTGTTTTTCAGTGAAACCCCCGGACTTCAGCAATAACTTTTTAATCCATGCTGACACTGGAGTATTAGAAGTAAAGACTGCAATTGATAGAGAAGAATGTCCATATCTTGTTGTGGGCATTCAGGTAGTGACTGTTTTAGAATTCAGTGTGTTAATGCTTAGTCTCAATTTCATAAAATAATATGTGAATCCGTACTGCTGTATTTCTCATAGTAAAGTTAAAGGGCAGTTGGTATCAAGGTTGTTTAAAACACAACATAAATCTATGTTGAGTCTATGCAGTCGTGTCCTTGTGCTAAGCTGGAATGACTCCTTTACCAGGGTATGGAATTAACAGCTACAAACTCTGTTTTCTAGGCAACTCAGCAAGACAATATTTTCAAAACAACTGATGCAGTGGTTCTGGTTACTGTTGAAGATGTGAACGACAATCCTCCAGTACTGTCACAATCAAGTTACAATGTCTCAATTCCAGAAAATTTCCCAAATGGGATGGAAGTTCTTCAAGTCACAGCTGTTGACAAAGATGAGGTAAAATGACAATGTCGTTATGGTTGCTACAAATACTGTACTTTTGAAATCTGATATAAAATGCCTTGGCATTATACAGATATAGCAAATAGTATGGTTGACTTTTTTTTCCTGACTACCTAAATATGTTTAAGCAAGACAAACTTAATTTCACTTCTTCAAGGGGTAGAGTACTGCAGCTGAAAAATAAATTTTGTCTCTCTCTGAAGCTCCTATTGTTTACAAAAGGCCCCAAACATGAAAATGCAGAAGTACAAAATGGATGCAAAGCTGCATGTTTTCCTCAGCCTCTGTGGTTTTTCTTCCATGTTGTTTGCTCCTCTCCCTTTATTTTTTGAGGGGCAGGTAGGAACTGTAACCTCAATTAAAGCAGAATATTAAATACTCTTCACCTGGAAAATAAGAAGAAAACATCCTAAGGGACTAGATCAGTGTTTGTTGTATTTAATAAGTATCATTGCTGTTTGCAGGGAGGCTTCCAGGGAACATTCAGTCTCCATCCAGCTGACAGTCCCTTCCAGCTGAGTCGAGCTGGGATCCTAACTGTGAGGAACTCCACACTGTTGGACAGGGAGAGAAAACCATCTTTTCACCTACAGGTATTAAAAATAAGCCTACTCCTTCCTGAAGCAACCCGAGGCAATTGGGTGATACCTGATCTGTCCCAGCAAGAACCTGATTATGTGATATGGATCACCAGCTTATTTGAAGGATCAAATCCAGACTTTCCCATTAGAACTCTCTGGAGTGAAATACCACTAGTGATACACCTTACTCAGCTTGTAATTGTTCATCTTTCTTACTACTTATGGAACATGCATCTGAACAAAGCAATAATGTTACTGCATCATTTTTAAAGGTCACTGCTAGAGATCATTTGTCACCTTATGATGAGGTAAACTCTACAATCAATATAGTGTTGCTAGATGAAAATGACAACAGCCCAACTTTTAGAGGCACGCCATATAGACAAGAGATTTTCATCAACATGACTGCAGGAATGTCCATTCTTCAGGTACTAGAAGTTCTAAGTAAAAATGGCATTTTGATGAGTTGGATGTGTGCACAAGTCCTTGTTTAAATTTGTGTAGTGGCCCTGTTGAATAAGGGATCTTTTCTGAACTCCTCTGAGACCAGAAACAATCCACCTTTCATTTAGAAGTTCACACTTGTTGCTATTGCAGAATCACAGTGTCCTGGAGGCTCTAACTGTATCAGAGAACAAATGATAAAAGGATTTTTATTCTTGATCTTAGATGCTGTGCACTATCTTGAATTCCATAAACATATCTCAGAAAATAAGATTGGATTTAGTTGTTAATGAAAGATTTGATCTAGTTGTGTTTAATGAAAACTGAGTGTTGTTAAAGTACAGATACTGAAATAATATTAAAAAGTTTTGAAAGGCTGCTGAATACTGAAGCATTGTGGATAATTTTTAGGTATGGTCTACTTATTTTTTAAGGTGATAAACCAGTTAACCAAATAAAACAGGAAACCAAGACAAAAATCACTTCAGGAGCTGAGATCTATAGGAATTGACTATCAAAACTCATACCCAGGTGTACTGATTTAATGGCTCCTGAAAATTCTAGCTCTGGTGACTTTGGAATTACTATGAAACAAGCTTTCTGCAATACAGTCTTGCTGTCCTTCACATGAGTTCCACAGGGGCAGGATTTTGCTCCTGCTACTGGAATGATATTGTGTGTGCATCAAAGAGCAAACATCTTGCTGAGGTTTAACCCAGGAATCATATAGGAAGCCAACAGTCAGTTAGAGGTATAACTGGATTTTATTTTAATTTTAAATTTTATTTTTAGTGTGGCTATATTTAGCTGATTTTTATAGATATAAAATTATCCAGACTTACTATTTGTAATAAATGAAAGGAGGAAAAGAACCCTCACAACCAATTCCTAATTGTCTTCTACCTGAACAATCTTCTCTGCAAACTAGACAGGAATACACAATTCTGTGTTGCTTGAGAACAAGGAACAAGAGTAAAATGATTTTCTTTTTCTCCAGGTTGCTGCTGATGATCCAGATGATGGTATAAATGGAGAGATAAGCTTTATCTTAGCTGGTGGCAATGAAGATGGATACTTTGAATTAGATACATCCACAGGACAAATCAGTTTAAAAACAGTAATCCCATTAGGAGTCAACCAGCTTAAGAACTTTGTTTTGTGGGTAACAGCTATTGATGGTAAGACAAGATTTTAGTAGAGGTCAACATAGCCATGCCCAGTGATGGGGTTTGGTTTTGTACAGTTTTTTTACTTGAAGAAATGCTGTCAAAATAGGTTCCCTGATTTTATTTTTAAAATACCATATATATATAAACTAAGCAACTCACATTTTCTGTTAACTTAATTACAGACTGGTATTGAATACAGAGATAGAGGCACAAGCTAGGAATTTGTAACTCAGACATCAGTTGACGGAGTAAAATGAAAGTAAAATGTGATGAGTGGATTGATCTTTGTTTGCACATCCATGTGGCTATCAAAAAACTAAAAATGGAGATGCCCAAGCCATTTTTAGGACAAACAGCATTACCTTAGCCATATTTATTGAGTTGGGTTTTTTTTTTGTTTTAAGAGTAGCACAGTTATTCTTCCTCAGAGTTAAATGGGTACTGGGGGAAACACAGTTACAAAGAGATTCACCAGTCCATCCTTTGTCTGTGCTAATATTGTTTTATGTGTTCAGGTTCATATGTTATAACCCCCAATACATGAAACACTGCTCTTGGTTAGGACTTCTCAGCAATACCATAATAGTAGTAATGAGGATTAAAAAAAGGTTTAAAAAATCAGTGCCAGTGGGAAAATATGAGGTTCTTTTTAGGCAGAAGGTATTTTGTGCATCTGCTGGGAGATGGTTTTCTTTTGCTTGCAGGTGGAATGATTCCAAGAAGTTCATCAGTGCCAGTACAGATCTTTGCAGTTGGAGATTCCAGACCACGGTTTATTCAGAAAACATATAATGTGTCTGTGCAAGAGGAGCTAGAGGGTCCTGTTGTTGTAACAAGAGTAAGAACAGCTATATTCTATCACTTGTATAAGACATGACAGCTACAGGAAAATCCTGTAATGTGTGTGCTTTACATGCCCATATCCCTCTGAGTTATGGATAACTAGATGTTGTGTTTTCTTCCCTGCATACCAGGCTTCACGTACATACTTACAACATTCCTCAGATGAAGTCTATCATCTATGAAGCCTATTCCTTTCATTGCAAACCTTTAAACAGCATCTGCTACCATTTAACATTTAAAAAACACACAAAAAAATAAACAAAGCCAACCAAACAAAAAACCATCAGTCCCCACTGCCCAACCAAACCAAATAAACCCAAGAACTGCTGGAGAAAGTAAACTTCCATGCTTAGCCCTTTGTTGACTTTGGACATTCTCCAAAGCCAAAGGCTAAGATAGGCAATATTCACTCATCTGTTGGTGATAAATCTAAAACCCCATGACATAATATAGCTAGGAAATGGAGACTTCCCCTCAGAGAACTGTCATAAAGGCATTTTCAAACAGGGCTCTAGAAATTGCTCCTCATTTTGATGAAAATATATCCAAACAGGCAGGCCACCAGAAGGCCCTGTGATAGCTCCTTCTAGATGCCATTCTGAAGACAGATGGGAAGTATGATACCAAAACAGTGAGAAGATAATACAGCTTATTGTTTAGATTTATTGGCTTCCAGAGTTAGTTAATTTTCCACTTTTTTCACATAGTGTAAGGCAGAACCAAAGCTTAAAGTGCAGCCTGTTGTTTTTATTATATATAGTATGTATTCACATTTCTGCATTAGTGATGTTCCAATAAGAGGCAGTCCTCTCCAGCTGTATTTGTATGTATATTGTGGCTTGATTTTTACTTCTGTTAATGGATAGAATTAGTAAAATTAGTTGGACATCATTAAAACCATTATTCCTTTTTAAACAGAGATTTATTGGTTTTAATTCCTGTATGGATAATATGCTGTATCTTACACAGGTAGAGTATGAAACTTTAAACCCCTATATCACAATTACATTTCAAGTACTGTCAGAGTCTGCTACATTTGACATCGATGTCAACGGAACCATCTCAACAAAAACCAAACTGGACTATGAATCCCAGAATAACTACACCCTAAATATTTCCTTGTCAGATGGAAATGCTACTGACTATGCAACAGTGTTTGTCAGGGTTACAGATGTCAACGATAACAGTCCTGTGTTTGCTGAGACCAGCACTACCATCAATGTTCTGGAGAACGTGCCAACTGGAGTTGCTCTCACCAGTGTGTCAGCTACAGATGTGGATGAGGGCTTTAATGGGTTAGTGGTTTACACTCTGAAAGGTGGAGAAGGAAAAATGGATATTAATACCTCGGGATCAATTTTGCTGGAAAAGGAAGTGGACAGAGAAGAACAAGGCTTCTATAACTTATTGGTGATTGCCAGTGACCAAGGTCAACCTGCGCTGTGGACAGCTCTCAATCTGACAGTCATCGTTGATGATGTGAATGACAACCCTCCAGTCTTCTCATCAAGTGTATATGAAGTGAGTGTCCCTGAAAATGAAGTGATTGGAAAGGCACTGCTGACAGTATCTGCTACTGATCTGGATGCAGGGGAGAATGCCCTCGTCAAGTACAGAATTGTTAGCCAGCAACCTCCGACCTCCTCGCCGGTGTTCCGTGTCAATTTGACCACAGGCCAGCTCAGCCTGAGCCAGCAGCTGGATTATGAAACCATAAAGCAACTTGAAGTAAGAGTGGAGGCATCAGATGGAGGGCAGCCAAGTCTCAGCAGTCAAACACGGGTCGTGGTGCACGTACTAGACGTCAACGATCACCCACCAGAATTCAACCAAGCAGCTTATGATGTGTTTGTGTTTGAAAACCTACAAAAGGGTAGTCCTATCTACACATTCAGTGTTACTGACAAGGATGAGGTAGGTAACAAATTAACCCCATCCTGATAAATCAAAATGACATGGCATTCTCTATCAGACTGCAGAAAAGCAGAGCAATAGAGGGGCAAAGGGAGATTTTGGTTGGCAGTAAGTACATTTTGGGTCACAGAAACTTGTTTTCCATGGAGCCAGCAATAAAACTTCCTTAACCAAGGAAGTTAAGACCTTGTACAAAATACTTTATTGGCTACATCAGAGAAGCTAGAGTGAGCTTCTCCTCTTAGACATACAGAATCCAGCACAGAAGAGTTGTTTGCTTCCATGCACATGCATATGGGATGAATGCATGCAGATCACACCAGATAGAGAACAGATTTTTACTTCTTTAAGTTCTGTGTTATTGCTTACTATGTCAAAATAACCAATTTTGGATTCACATTGCTTGGCAACTTGCAGAACTCTATCTGAGAATATCTGTTGGTGTGTTTCTGTAGTGCAGTCAACATTCCCCAAGTTGTGCAAACCTTCAGGAGAAGGGCAATTTGTAAAGATGATACAGTTTCTTCTTCTTTAACAGGAAATTACCCAATTTCACTTTCATTTTATAAAAAGTTGTTTCTTTCTCTCCTTTTTTTTATAAAGAAATTTGACATGTAGCCATGTCACTGTTGAGCTGGTTTGGAGGAAGAGATTTACTATTTGCTGTAATATTCTTGCTCATGTTAGTTTTAAAGCAGCATAAATGCTTCTCCTGGTTCAGACTCCACTAAACTGTGTGTTGCTGCTGCTTGCATCATGGGAGAACTTTATGGAGGGAACATGAAGCACACAAATAGGGAAGCCCACAGGGGCTTTCATGTACCCTGATTTCTCTTTGCCAAAGTCCATTGTTCCTGTCATTCAGGGTGCAAGATTTTATTTATTAAACCTTGCAAAGCACTTGTATTTCTGTAATGAGAAGTCTTGTGAGAACTGTAAGGTATTAATAAGAATTTTTTTTAAACTTCATTTAAGATTAAAATGATGGATATTTATGTTTTCTTTTTAGGCTGGCTTTTCCCAGGGACACTTTGTCCATAACAGTACTTTGTTTACTGTGGATATGCCTGGAGTACTTTCACTACGGAATGACACAGAACTGGACAGAGAGACTACATCTACATTCACTTTACAAGTAAATCTGGGGACAGACTCTGCAGCTTTGGCTCATTTCTACTTCATCCCTTCAACCCCTTTTTTGTCTCTTTGTTAGATAGTTAAAATGGCAGCAGCGTGAACTAAAATTCCATTTTTGTTTTCTCTTTTTGGCAGATCTGGGCAGTTGATGCCAAAACGGATGGGTTTACTTCAAGTGCCTTGTTCCACATCACTGTTCTGGATGTGAATGATAATAACCCTGAGTTTCAGAAGCAGCCATACAGTTTTGCAGTTCTGGAAGGAGACTACGTGTTGCAGGCTCCTGCTAGGGTTGGACGTGTGGCTGCCTCTGATTTGGATGAGGGAGAGAACGCACGGATTACTTACTACTTATCAGCTGTGGATGGGGATAATCCCTGTAACATCCAACAGGTAAGGGTTTGGATATGCCAAAAATACTATTTAGACACTGCTTTTCATGCAGTTAGTTGACATAGTAAGATACATCTGGTGAAGAGAGTAGATAGTATCAAAACCAGTATGAGCTCTGTCGTTTGGAAATTTAAGTCAATGTCCAAAAACTAAGACATACTGGTCAGATGTTGCTTGGAATCTGAACTATATTTGTCCAAAGGAGAACAGATTTCAATCCCTCCTCTCTTTAGAGAACTTGATGTACAAGAGTTATCAAAATGACCTGTGCACTGAGCCATATTATCTTCTCTAGGATGGAACCATCTTGGTTAATGGCTATGTAGACCGAGAAGCAAAAGACAAGTATGAGCTGCTGCTGGTGGCTTCTGATAATGGAGTACCTCAAAGGCAGGTAATGGAGAAGGGCACATTCTTCTTTATTTGAAGCTTCCTTTTGTTAATAAATTCAACTGTTTGTGCATTTGCTGAATCATGGTTTTCTCCTGTCACACACCAGAATTTCACATATGTCAGCCTTCAAGTATTAGATGTGAATGATAACCCTCCTTGGTTTACACAAGCACAATACTCAGCCAGAGTACGTGTAGCAACAGCAGAAGAGGGAGTGTCTGTGCTATTCGTGTCTGCTACTGACCTTGACTCTGGGAACAACTCTGTTATTTCATACAGGTACATTTCTGTGAGGTTAATAAGTAGCTTGTGTTAAAGTGTCATAATCAGAATTTTTATTTCTCACAAAGTATTTTTATTGGTCATAAGAAGATAAGACCTGTTCATAGATATTTTACAAGCACTGTAATCAGTAATGATTTTCAAACCTGGGAAAAGGACAGTTGTTACTCTGTGGTTTAGAGCTGAGCTAATCATGATTACATCATAAGAAGGAGAATGCAACCACATGATAAACTTGGCAAGTTTAAAGTGACAGCTAAGGTTTGCTTGAATTGAATTTCTGAAATTTTAAGTAACATGTTGGAGTTTCTGAGGAAATAAATGAATCCATGATTCTCTCTTTTCATACATCTTCTGTTTTCTGAGAGGAAAAGATCAAGAAATACTAAGTTTTGTAATGCACTATGCATAAAAAAATTAACTGAGAAAGATTTTTGTATGAGGCCTGTATCACAGAAAATACCAGGATATCTTGACATGAGAAGTATAGATCAAGGGCAGATGAATGCATTAGTAAACTGTTAGTGTTTAGAACTAGTGTCTTGAAAAAGAATGTTTTTAACAATGAGATGTCATTCTGCCTTGAACACATGAGTTTTTCTTGTGTGCAATCCAGTTACCTGAGAGAGTTTGCAGAACCTGCCTTCTATTTGTGGGAAGATCAAAGGCTTGGGGTGCAATGGGAACTGAAGGCATGAATGCTGCCTTTTTTTTGTGATGGAAAACATACTTTGAAATAAAAAGGCTTATATGTTTAAGCTAATGACAGCAATTAAAATCCATTCCTTAGTTTTTCTTTATAAATAAGCAAATACTGCCTGTTGAGTGCTTGTTACAGAAGTAACAGGAAGTAGGTGATACGTCTAAGGTCATTAACATGCATGTTATACTGATTTCTCTTTAATTAGCTTCCTGAACCATTCTGATGATTTCTGTATAAATAACCACACTGGAGAAATCACCCTCAGCAGTAACCTGGACTACATCACAGCTGACACAGTTGTTACACTGGTAGTTATTGCTACTGACCATGGGGTTCCTCAGCTTACATCAAACGGTAAATGATGTTTTTTCACTTCCCACCCCCAAAATGTAACCTTTGCAAACACTGAAATTTGAAATCAAACCCATCACTGTCAGTTTGAAGTGAATTAGGGCTACAATCTCCAATAGGTTTCAGCAATGATGAATATTTGCTTTTACCCTTTGCCTTCCTCCCAGCTGATGACACTAACAGAAAGCTTGCTGTACTAATCCTGGTTAGAAGTGTATTCTTTGGTTTTCTTGCAGTGGTGCTTATGGTACAGAACCCAGGACTTCATGATACCCACTCTAAAGAGATACATTAAAATAATGTTGATAATGAGTGTTTCAGTTTTCTTTTATTTTCTTAGACTTAGAAACATTTAAAGAAATTAGAAACTGGCAAATAACCCTCAAACAAGTTTCTGGGCTTATTCTGGGATGTTAGTTAGGTATAAAAGGCATCATGTTCTATTTGTTACATATTAATCCTTATGACTATTAATTTCTTTTTTTCTTCTCATTTCTCTTTCCTACAGGCTGATTTCTGTTATTTTCTATTGGTTCCTCCAAAACTTAGGGAAATAGAGCACAGAGCATGTTAGCAATAACTTCCTTATTTTGATTTGTTTTCTCTCCTTAGCCTCTGTGACTCTCTACTTGCTGGTAAATGACACGAGCTTCGGGCTGATTTTTGGTAGCTCCAGCTACGAGTTCAGCATCAAAGAGGATGAGCCCCCGGGGGCTGCTGTGGGCTCTGTGAAGGCTCTGACTGGAAGCATAGCTGTACAAGTAGCATACTCCCTGAAACCTCACCACGACAAGTTCTCCATTAGTGACCAAGGAGACATTGTGGCTCTCACCAGCCTAGATCGAGAAGACAACGACCTGTACAGCATCGTTGTAGAAGCTGTTGATTCTGTGGTGCCACCCAATACAGCCCTTGCTTTGGTACAGTATACTGATTTTACAGTATTTTTAAAAAGGAATATAAAATATTTTAAAAAAATATTTAAAATCAAGCAATATCACAGAATTATTTAGGTTGGAAAAGACCTTTAAGATCAAGTCCAACTGTTAACCGAGCACTGCCAAGTCTACCAGTAAACCACATCCCTAATATCCACCTAAATGTCATCTCTTATGCAAGCATGAGGATTTTGAAAGCCTTTTATTTGATTTCCCTTTTTTTTTCTCCAAGACAATATTACTATCTAGAAGTATTGTTGACTTCACAAATTGTATCACTTTTTGTGCTTAGTTCTGTCAAATGCATGAGGGAAGGTGACCCAAAAAACCTAAAGTATTAGTGTTGCTCATCTCTTCCAGTTAGAGTATGTGCTATCTCACTTGTAGCATATAAAAACTTTGCAAAAAATCTTGTGTTTTTTTGTTTTTTTTTTTTTAATAAAAAATTGAGGTGCTGAAGTTGTGAAAATGGTCAAATGCTGAAAAATGCTGAATTTTTATATCCCTTTGCTTTGTGTGTCTGTGAGTATTTGTGGTGTTTGTTGTTTTTTCCTAGAGGCTAAAATGAATCAAAATTCTCCTTTTGGATACTGTTTATACAGCTCATATGTCTCTTTTTTTTGTCCCTTCTGTTTCTTTTTTTTATTATTAATTTTTTTAAATACAGGTGACTGTGAAAGTTGATGACATCAACGACAATCCTCCAGTTTTCTCACCATTGATTCAAACTGAACTATCAGCTCCTGAGAATGCAGCTGGTCTAGACCTGGGCATTTTTAGTGCTACTGATCAGGATATAGGAGTTAATGCACATATAAACTACTCTCTGCAAGATGATTTTGCTGGAATGTTCCATATTAACAGTTCCACTGGCAGGCTGATGACAAAAAAATCCTTTGACAGAGAGAAGATGGACAGTTATGAATTGAAAATAATAGTAAGTTGACAAATTTGATGCAAGTTGACAGAAGTAAAGTGGATACTTTTAAAGACTAATTGAAAATTGTACTCATGTACCTATAGATAGAGCTTTTCTGTGGTAGATGTTCATGCCATGTAAAACTATGAATTTGCCAAGTGCTAGCTACTCTTCACAGATCACTTTGTAGATGCTTCAAACTCTCAAAATACAAGGGATTTCCTTATCCTTTTAAATGTCACATCAGATAGGCATTTGTGTAGCATGGTTTTATGTTGATTAATGCCCCATCTGATCACATGACACATTTATCTGGTTTCTGCCTTGAGCTTTTGATGAATTTTTCATGGAATGGGGCAGAGCATGTGAGATGGTGAAGATACTGGCTGAAGGAAGATATGCAACACTGAATTGAGCACAGGGCTTAGAGAAATGGCATTGGGTGGTAGCTGGTCCTGCAGAAAGTCTTCTGAGACAAAGCTTCACAATTTTGGGGACAAAACTGAACAGGTAAAATCAGTTGGTATCAGCGTAGTGCTGCATTGAATAACAAGATATTTCTTCACAGGCCACTGATTCTGGCAAACCCTCACAGTCTGCAAGCTTAGTTCTGAGCATCACTGTAGAAGATGTGAATGACAACCCACCAGTGTTCCCCCAGAAATCATACTCTGTGACTGTACGAGAGAATGAACCTCCACATGTGGTATGTGGCCTGAAAAATAAATAGACTCTTCTGCAGTTTCTGTATGGAAACTTGAAGTGGTAGCAATCTGTGATGACTCTGCATTGGCAAAGGTTTTTTACTTGGTGGAGGCTGTAAAATCACACAGTGTGTTTGTTTGATATGACAGAGGAGTCCCTACCCCACTGGCCCTCCCTAAAGCTCTTTGTGCTGCTCCCCCTTTCCCTCCTGTCCCCAGCAGTGATCCCACACTGCATGGGTCTACTTTTCAGAGGACCTTTGGGCAACAGGATTTAAAGATGCTGTAGATGTTGTGCATATATCCAGCACCCCACTGTTCTTAAGGTTTTCTATCTTTTCCCAGTGTATCAATTTCTGGCTCTGTATCTGCCTTGCAGATCTGAACTAACAGTTTACAGGAGTTGAGGGAAGAGGTGCCACCTAAGAACCTCTAGCATCTGTTGCCACCCCTCCTGTAGGCTGTGTCAGCCTTCTAGCAATGTAATTAATGGCTATTTAACTAACTAGTTAAATGCCAGTCTTGTGTGTATGTTCTGCCACTCTTCATTCTGCTCTAAACTTGGCAGGTTTGGGATTTTTTGGTTTTGTTTTTCTCATTTAGATTTTGAGTGCAGCAGCCACAGATGAAGATATAGGTTACAATGCCATTATTCATTACATTATAATTGGAGAGGCCTCTTCCTTTCATGTTGGTGAACTTTCTGGAAATATTACAACTCTTCAACCTCTGGACTACGAAAGTCATCCCCAGTATACATTTATTCTGAAAGCTTTCAATCCTGGAGAGCCATACCTCCAGGACACAGCAAACATTACAGGTACTTCTAGTTTACCACAGAAAATTTACCTTCATTTCCTTAAAGAGCATTTCAGCATGTGTAATTATGAGGCACAAAGCCTTCAGTGGTAATACAGCCTGCTAAAGTCAATTATCAAATAATGATGTAACCTTTTCACTATAGCTAGATGAAATTTTCCTCAAGAAGTGTTTGGCTTGTCAAACATGAAGACTTTTCACACAAACTGACATTACTACAATGGCATTTTTTAAGTAACTATTGACTTTTTGATGGAAAAAGTTTCCAAAACCATTATTCAGTTCTTTTTCTGTTTGATAACAGACAGTCTAGTGCTAGAGTGGGAACAAAAAATGTTGACAATGTTTTTTAGTTTTGTTAAGATAACAGTATGTAATTGTTGGTTTTTTTTCTATTAAAAAAAGGCCTTTTTTCATAGCACAATATATGAGACACTCTGGTTGGTATCCTATATTTGTCCAGCCCTACTTTTGATCAGTATGACTGGAAGTACTGCTGTATTTATTGCTTCTTTTTCTGTGTTACTTATGTTACTGTACAGACAGCTTCACTTACTTGTGCACCATGACCCTATTGTGCCAGGCCACGTTCAAATATAAAACTCAAGCAATCCTGTCTCACAATCCCTGCAGCCTAATCCAAAGGCTAGAGATACCAGAGGAATACAGACACAGAAGGGAGCCCAGCCACACAATAAGTTGATATTATTCATGGCAGATAGTAGTGACAGCATGCTAGAAGAAGCTGCAGAAGTGCAGCCCTTGTGGGGAGCTATTGCTTGAACAGTAAATAATTTACTCCACAAGGGCAAGCATTTTGAAGTGCAGAAAACAAGTTTGCCATCTGGGTTACATGGAGAAAGCTGTGACTCAATTCACAGGAGCTCTGCTGGTTTATATTTGCTGAAGAAATAGCTTGTGACTTTAGGTGAGACTCATGTTTATGCTCAGACATGGATCTTCTTTTCTTAGTTACCGTGGAAGATGTTAATGAAGAAGGACCCATATTTGACAAGCCCTCATATTACCAGATCCTTCTAGACAATTCTACAGCTGGCACACTGGTGGTAGATATCAATGCCAGAGATGAAAGCAAGGGTTATGATGAAGGCATTTTCTACAATATTTCAGGTATATCAGAAAAAAACCCCTTATGGCTGTTTATTACTAAGGTACTTGCAGTTTATTACTGCTAAACTAAGCTGCATGGCACAAGAATGGGAGATAATGGTCATAAATTGAAATGGCAGATTCTGGCTAGATATAGGGGTGGAAAAAGTCCTCTGTAAGGAGGACTAAGCCTCTCTGGCCACTTGTTCCAGTGCTGTCCTTCCAGGTTTTCAGCACCTAATGGATCAAAGCCTTGAGCAACCCGCTCTGAATTCATTAATGACCCTGCTTTGAACCAAGAGGTTGGACAAAGAGCCCTCACAAAGGCTCTTCCAGCCCAAATGGTTCTGTAGCACAGAATAAAGAGAGACCAGATGTCTTTCTCCCAATCACATTGATGGATTTGGATTTCAACCTGTGCCTCTTAAATCATGGGCAAATAATTCAGTCACTCGTCTCTCCTGGCTCTGTTGAACATCTCCAACACTTTTTTTTCTGCCTTCAGATGGAAACTCAGAAAGCCTTTTTAGTCTTTCCAGTACCACAGGAGTACTCACGTTGACAAGAGACTTATCCAAACAGGATGTTCCCCTGTATTACTCCCTGGTGGTCACCGCTACGGACTCGGGTCTGCCGCCTCTTTCAGCTTCTGTAAAGGTACTGAAGCTTTTACTTTAGTGTCTGCTTACACAGTTTATTCCCCACATTGGTTTATTCTAAACTGAGTGTAACTACACTAGAAGAAATGGGTATTAGTGAAGGCAAAACAGGCATCAGAATGACAGTCCTTGCATTTCAAGAGCGGGATACAAGATGGTGACAGTGACTAAGTTATGTGGCTATAGCAATTGCTGGCACACCACCAGCCACTGTGTTGATCATTTCATTTCAGAAAACAAAGATAGAAACTTTAGACTGTAAGGGTGGAAGATGACGAGTGTGGAGACTTCAGTGCAAGGTCAGAGTGGGACAATTGGATGGGATGTAATGGAAGTATGTGATGGAATAAACAGGAGGCAGCAAATTGGATGCTCCTGTTTATCTTTCTAGAATACAAGAAAAAATAAATTCCAAATTAAGACAGAGAAAAGTAAATATGATAAAAGAAATATTTTTTTTACACAGTGCTTATAACTGGCTGGTAATCTTTTGCCACTAAATATCACAGCTTAGCAGGATTCAAAAGAAAAAGGACTATAAATGTATATGGATAAAGACACACAGAAAATTCTATTCAACGGAACCTTAAAGTGTAGACTTTCAAGGGATCATTCTTCAGAGCAGTGGACATCATTTAGAAATAAATTATCTTTATTTTTATGAAGCAGTAGGCATTATTTGTCTACCTTTTTTCATATGGTAAGTCAGTTATAGTAGTTTTAAAATACTGTACTTACAAACTCCTTCTCTGGTCAGGCATTCTCCAGTGGAAGAGTTTGTTGCAAATACAGATCAGGATTTCTCTCTGAGAGCTCTTTAGCAAGACAATTTGAGATGTGTTGTATGTGATGAACTGGAATCTCTCTGTGTATTTAGTGAAGCATGCAGGTGAACCTAAACTGATGAGGTTGCTGGCATTTCTCACTAACCTTTGCTGCCTTCAGGGCACTAATGTGTCAGACTCAGCATGCAACAATCAGAGATTTTCTCTTAGTGACAAAGTTCTGGACATTTGCTGTTGCATACCTCAACAAAATTGTCTGCTAAACCTTAAAACATAACCCCTGTGGTCATGTCCTTTTCTCTGCAGGTGTCAGTAACAATAGCTCCCATCAACTCTTTGTTCCCAGTGTTCTCTGAAGCCATCTATCAGCCTGCCCCTCTGAGTGAGAAGACACTGCCAGATACATTTGTTGTAGAGATCAGTGTGTTTTATAAGGCCCCTGTGATATACAGTATTGTCTCTGGAGATGAAAAGGGTAAGCTCCACATGGGACACAACAAGGAAGAGGGTGTGTTAAACAACCAGTGCTGCAGAGCACTTAGTTTTTGGGTTGTTTCTTTTCTCCTTTTGCATTTATCTCAGTTCTGCAGCCAATAATACTGGATGTGTGTCAGCCAGATGTACACATTTGATGTGGATCAGGTGTGGGCACATGACTGAATTTCTGTCAGATTAGTTGGAACCACATGACATGGAGCTGGCTGCACCAGCTCTGTGCTTTCCTACACCTGCTACAGGAACATCAGATGACACCTGATCAGACATGAAGTTAAGGTGACTGGAGAAAGAACACCTATTTCAGCATAAATGGCACGAAAACTAACTCAGCAACATTTTCTTAAACACGAACGTGTTGAGTAAATTTGCACAGACTTGAGTGGATCAGTGGTTTGTCATGTGTCTTTTCCTACTAAACATAGAGCTGATTTTATTGTGTAATCAAAAATACCCATTTTGTTGTTGTGTTGGTTTTTTTTGTTTGTTTTTTTTTTTCAAGTATTTTGTATGTGTCTCCTTGAGGTTATTTGAAGAATTCTTCTTCTTCACTAAGAAAAGGACTTCTTAAGAAATAAGATTATTTTTAACTGAAAGAGGAACAAACTGCCTGTTTCAGAGGAAGGCCACCTCACTGGAGAATGGTGGAGTGAGCTCCTCCCTTTTAGTTCCTGTCTGACCTTCTGAATTATTTGTTTTTGTTAGTTACAGCCTTGGATATATCTGACATTCTAGTAAATCCATGTTGCATTTTATTTTGTTCTTTGAAGAAAAATGTAACATACAATATTCATGTGAATATAGTTTGCATTGAAGGGTTTGTATCTTTAGTTCTACCTGATAAAACATAAAAATAATTTCTATTTTCTTTAAAAGGATATTTCAATATCAGTTCATCAACTGGTATCATAAGAACACAAAAGAATTTGAAACCAGAAGATTTTCCAGTCATTTTCAACGTGCGAGCAACAGATTCGTCTAATGATAACATATTTAATGAAGTTTCTGTCAATGTGGAAGTTATTGATGAAAATAATTTCCCTCCGGTTTTCCCATCCTCTCTACTAGAAGAAAAACTGGAAGAGGTAAGAAAATGCCATCCAAACTGAATCACAAAAATAAATCCTCAAAAAAATGGTAAAATCTGTGGGTGAGGATACAAGTACATGTTCTGGAACTGGACAGGCTTGCCATTCTGTTCTGCCATATGATGTTCTAAGGTTTATTTCAAGCTGAAAATCCCAATAGACAAAGAGAATGGTTTAGAAGTGTGGACATATTGGAGGAAAAGTGAATCTTTTCCTAAAAAGGAGCTCCATGAAGGAAAACCAGTCACTCCATTGTGTGTATTTATACACAGAGAATATTCACACTTTCAAAAATCTAGTGAATGTGCTGGACACCTCATAGTCTCTTACTCAGCCTTCTGTGAGGCAGTTTCACAGAAGTAGCAGGCAGGAGTCTCTAATTTAGCAACATCTCTCCTCTTGCTCATGTACAATCTGCTGTAATCCTTGCAGACACAAAATAATCACTGGCAGAAAGAAAACCAGATTTCAGCCTGTGTTAGGTTACGACAGCCAACAAAAGGAGCCAAAACACTGAATTGTGCAAAAGCATCTAGCTCAACATTTCACTCTGCAATTTCCAAACAATGCTTTACACACTTAAATCTGCAAACTACTTTTAAAAAAGAAGCACATTGATCATGTTTCTAGTTTATACAGAGTGTATCTTGCCTATGATTCACACACATTCTCTTTAACAGCCACAACTGATTTAAACTCTAGCCCTTCTAAAACTGAGCTAAATACAGCTTTAATTATTACACCTATTTTTTAATGTTCTGTGGAGTTGGAGAAGAGTTAGAATCACATTTCCCAACCTTAAAAATTGATTTCTGTGGGAAGTATTTACACAGTAGGAATTGCTGGATGCCCTGTTGGATCAATTAACTTCAGATCAGGTGTCAAATGGCTGTGCAAGTGAAACACTGGCGTTTACTGTCAGTCTTGAAGCAAATAACATTTAAAAAACCAAGAAGGGAGGAAATAGATTATTTATTTTGAAAAGAATAGTTATTCTTCAAATAGTTTTCAGAAAGAAAAATTATTTTGAAGTTGAGAACATCCATGGAGTTTTGTAGTAGAGGCTGTTAAACATGTGCTTCAAGAGAAAGTCATATGCTTGTAAGTGTAAGTAGTATCTGTTAACTTTCTCCCTTTTCACATAATTCAAGAAATTGCAGCTAACCAATCTCTGACAGCCTCAATCTGTTCCTCCACAGAATTTACCTGCTACCCCCATTGTCCAGCTGAAAGCTCAGGATAATGATACGGGTAGAAATGGTTTGCTCACGTATGGCATTCTTAATGGAGCCAGCCTAAAATTCAGGATAGATGAAGCAACTGGAATTCTGTATTCCACTGCCTCCTTTGATTATGAAGAGGAACCTACAGAGTATCAGGTTTGCTTTAGATTTCTTTAGGTCTTTATTGTTCTTTCTTCATTTGTCTTTCCCTTGGATAACTGGTGACAATTGATTTTGTTTAGTTTGATATTGCTTGAACATCTTATGCATTGTTTTAGAAAAATTAGGAAAAATTTCTTCACCAAAAGGGTTGTAAAGCACTGGAAGAAGCTGCCCAGGGAAATGGTGGAGTCCCCATCCCCTGAGGGCTTTCAAAGCCATGAAAACGTGGTGCTGAGGGATATGGTTTAGTTGTGACCTGGCAGTGCTGGGTTAACTGTTGGACTTGGTGATCTTGAAGATCTGTTCCAAACAGAATGGTTCTATGATTCTGTGAATAGCAGCATCTCAAGATGTGAAGCATTATTAAAAGAAGACACTACCTTTAAACTGTATTGACATTCAAGCAAGGCTCACTGTTCAACTGTCCTACAAACTCTGAACCACTTTGGCACACGAATAACAAACTTGACAATGACAGCTCATGTAGTCAGTGCTGTTTGCTTGAATCTGTACTGAGCTGGGATCTTCCAGATACAATTAGCAGTTAATCATCTTTATTCTTGCCACCACTGCTGGATATTTTCTATTATCTTATTTTGCTTCAAGCAAAAATGTTGGTGAATTTATTGTTTATGTATAGAAAGACTTTTTTTATTCACCAAATACTCCTTTAGTTTTCAATCATGATTTTGAGGTGAATTCAGAATTTGAATTTATGTTTCGAAGAATACTCCAAAGTTTAAAACTCACTAAGATTTTTTTTAATCCTTATGCAGCTGCCTATTTGTATGACTTCTCATTACCAATAGCTGTGTAACTTACAGGTTGTGATATATGCTGAAGATGATGGAATCCCTGAGAAGAAAAGAGGTTACTGCACAGTTGTCATAAAGATCGTTGATGTTAATGACTGGCCACCCGTCTTCGATCCAGTGACTGAATTCAGTGTAAATGAAAATGCACCTGTGGGATTCATGGTTGGGAAAATCACAGCAACAGACAGAGACACAGGAGACAATGCCTTTGTTCTTTATAGCCTTCCAGGTAACAAGGAATTCTCTCACTGCAACAACTGTCACTTTGCTGTGTGTAACGTTACGAGCATGAGCAGCACTGTGTGCTATCTCCTAATCCTTTTCCACATAAGCCAGGAAGTTCACTTTCACCTGGCTTGGCATTTTTCTAATTTATACTCATACAGCTTTCAAACTGAGTAGAAACGTCTTTTGCAGAAGCTACAAATTGTTGTGTTTTTAACCATACTCTTAATTCTGTTAAAAATCAGCTTTAAAAAAAAAGCTTTAGCTACTCGACTGCTGTAGCTGCCATCAGCAGGAGTAATTTTGATGAGAAAAAGAAATGCCCATAGCTTTCCTGAATGAGGAGTAAGGGTCAAGGGCCTAATTCACCACTGCCTTGTAGAACCTCGTGCCTGTGCCAGGTATTAAATGCTGCTGAATTAAGCCTCTCCTCAGCCTGCACACCGTGAGCATTTCACAGCTACTGGGAGCAGATCTAAATGGCATCCTAAGTGTGTCAGGGACATGATTCACTATCAAGGGCTGCTGGAGAGCTGTTGTCCTCACCCTTGTGCTGGACAACTTTTACCTCTGCAGCAGAAGAGCCACAACAGACAGCAGGTCACTTACTCTGCTACCTCACATCTCTGCCCAGGCTATTAGTATAAAGTGCCTTTAATTTAATTTTACATTAATGTGCCAGCTTGTGAACTGCAGTGACTGAGAGCTCTGATTTGTGCTTCCTGTCACGTTTACCTGTGATACTATTTTTTTGAGTGTGATAGATATATCTGCAAAACTTAACACATTCTGTTGACTCATATTTTAAACACTGATCCACTGAAAATATTTGTTTTTTCTTCTATCTTAACAGTATGGCATTTAAAAAATTGTTCTAGTGAGCTCAAGACACAAGTAAACATAATTTGAAGAGTGTAGTTAATTATGTGCTTCTAAGATGTGTTCATAACTCTTGTTTAAATGTATCTCAGATGGTGGAGGCAACATATTTGAAATAGATGAAATACATGGCAACATTATTATAAAGAATCCTCCAGACTATGAAACCATGAATAAATACAACCTTACAGTGAATGCAGTCAACAATAAATCTGCCCCTTTCCATCAGGTAAAAGACTGTTACTATAATGAACAGTGACTCCTCTATTCAGAGTGGATATTAAATTAGTGGGAGGGAGATCTACCAGAGATATTTAATGTGTGGAATAAATTAGGCATCTAATCATGTTTAGGGTCAGGGTTCTGCAACCTTTGTCCATGTGGAGTAGCATTATACTCCATAATTAGCTGAAATACTTCAAAATTGATCCTGAATTGTTTGCAGACCAGCTTGTGCTGGGGAAGTTAAATTATTACCTGCTGCTATTAGTACTGTAAGTGCTCTGATCATTTTTTCATGAGACAAAAGGTAATTTTCAGCAAATTGTTCTAGTTCTGCTGTATTCCTTTTATATGAAAAGGTCTTACAAGTGGATTTAACAGAACTTGAACACGTGTGGTTGGCTCCCTTAACTGCATCTAGGAGCAGCAGTGGGACATGCTGGGCTCCTAAACACATCCTGTACTCATTCAGAAACCTTTCAAGAAGTAGAATCCTACTGCAGCATTGAATTCCTGCCTCCTGTTTCAAAATCCTCTAGTGATCTCTGATGTGGAGTTCATGCAATGAAACCCATCACAATATTTTACTGTGCCATTTTTAAAGTCTAATTTATACTTTATGCAAGTAACAAAAGCCATCATTGAATAAGCTGTTCTAAATATTCTAAAATGCACGAAACCATTTTGTTTTCTAGGCAACTATTCATGTCACTGTTCTGGTGATTGATGTGAATGATAATGCTCCAGTATTTGCTCAGAACCCCTATTCTGCTTCTATAAACATGATTAATCCTGTAGGTGCTCATGTCATAACTGTGAGTGCTACCGACCAAGATCAGGTAACTGCTCCTTGTTTGATTTTGACACTGCTTCAAGCTGCAGCCCAAATGTATTTTCCTCTTCTCTAGGCATGAAATACCAAATGTAGCAGAAAGTGAATTCTGATTGACCTAACAGCAATGGAATTGGAAATTAGGAATTTTGATGGTTCTGCCTTGACCTGATGTACACTATGTCTTTGAGAGTGTTTCTTCAGCTATATTTGCCCTATTTTTTTTCCTCTTACCATATGGAGTGGTGCCAGTCTTTCAGAAGTATATGTGGACTGAAACAATTTAATGTCTGTGAAGTTAGTTGAGCTTCTAAAGTAGAGGAATCTGTAAAAGCTTCAGTATCATCTAGCTGGCTGAACATGGAAGTGTCTGCTTACCAAGCACCTCTGAAGTGTGGTGCCCCAGCTAATTCTCTTTGTCCACGTTTTGTAAAGTAATTTTGTTTAATATATCTCTACTGCATCCATCAAGTAATATCCAGGTGCTGGCAGAGATATCCAGTAGCCAACCAGATCACCATGACAACATCACCACCAATTATATCATTTAGAAGATGAAACATCCAGAAGTGATAATCAAATAGGTGCAGCAGGTGCCTTCCTATTTATTCACACATAATTTTTGTTACAATAGATGCAGCTGTGGTATATTGCTGCAAATAATCTAATGGCCCCTTTTTTATCCTCTTCCTCAATGACTTTATATAAAAAATGAAATTGCTTGTGAAAGTTGCTGAATGGACTTTGAGATCTGCATTGAGACCCTAATGAAACTCATCCTTCAGATACTGTCTGGTCCTGTGCCATGCAGAAGACCTCATCCTCCCTCTGCTACCCTTTCAGGACTCTGGGGCAGAGTCCAGCACTGAAATTACTAGACTTTGTCTCTGTTCTTCCCTGTTCCTGAAATAATTATAAATCCACAGGTTCCTTAGTGACCACAGATGTTCATGGTAGGGTTTGATCCTCCTGCTGCAAAGCCATGGAAAAACAGAAGACAATGCTTTTCAGAGATGCAGAGCCAACCCTAAGGGTTTGTCAAGGTGGATTGTCTCAGGGAAGTGAAGTGCATAAAGTGTGCCCAGCTCTCCTGTGGCAGGCAGGATCAGGGCTTACCCTCAGAGCAGTGGGAGGCTGTGCTTCCTAGGGTGTCAGAGGAGGCTTGGGCTTATTCTCGTTGACATCACACCTTTAGGTGACTTTCACTACTTTGACTGTTCCTCTCTACATGTGTCCTTAATTTATTTTCCATAGAGATCTCCCCTTCCCTCTTATTCTCCCCTGTGCCACCCCCCCCAGTTTTTACTCTGTAACTGGCTAACTGCTTGTGAATTTTCTTCTGCTTTGTGTTTTTTATCAGCACCCATCCTACTATGGGTAACCCTAAGTTTTCTCTCTCTAAATACATTCACTATTATCAAAATAAATTGACTAGAGACATACAGACATTGTAAAATCTTTTTTTTCAGTGTTTATCCTGCCCTCCAAAATGCACACCCAGTGTACGTAGTTTTCTTTAGTATTGCTGTGGGAATGGTTTTCTTTTTTTATCTTAGAACATCAAAACTAATTTGGGGGTGTGAGGGGCTCTGCTGATTGGGCCTTTCCAGTGGTGCTGCTCTTGTGTTACAGCTTAAGCCCAAAGCAGCTCTGAGCCTGGTTCTCTCTAGTGATTGAAAATGTTTCTGGCATTCTGTCCACTTAAGCATGGAAATACTGAGATTCCAGCGAGTCCATACCCTGGGACGTGGGGCACTGAAATAACCTAGTCCTGCAAGCAATAATGACCCAAAGTTGTGTTCCTTCCATGGCAGGGGCAAAATGGCCTTATTGAGTACTACATCCTCCCTGACCCAAGCCTCAGCCCGTTCTTCCTGATAGATGATGTGAATGAGGGGAAAATAATTACAGCTGGAAACCTGTCTAGATCTGGAGAGATCCATTTAACAGTGATGGCAAAGGACAGAGGCTCCCCCTCTTTAAATGGCACTGCCAGGATTATTCTGAATGTCTCTGACAACCGCCCCTTTGTGCCTCGCTTTGCTGAGAGTGAAATCAGGTGAGGCTTCCATCTTAACTGCTATGTAACTCGTACATATCCTCCAGGTAGTGGAAAACACAGTAAGTTGAAACTTGAAGCTAATTGTCGTGTTCTTCTGTGCAGAAGAAAGGCCATGAGGGATTTTTTTAAACAAAATGTCCAGAAAATTTGCAAAACTGCTGGTTCTGTGAATGTGATGCAAGACATCGCCTTTTATGTCTTGTATAAGCCAGACTCTTTGTCCCTTTCCTCCTGCACAGTCATAAAACATTCTTCCTTAGCCTTTACTCAAGGAGAAACAAATGTCTTGCTGGAGAAGTACAGCTTGAGCTGCACTCTGAAAGTCAGCGAGCTCTGGCAAACAACTAGAGGGGAGGGGGCAGGATTTCCACAGAGAACTCTCTCTTAAAGAGTTCAGTTTCAAAGCCTGCCAGTGCAGAAACTGCTGGGAAATGTAACATCATGATTTCTCTTTTATTTTCCATATTAGCATTTCCGTGGCAGAAAACACAGGAGTGGATTATGTCGTTTACACTTTTACTGTGGTTGAAACTTTAGGAAAATTGATAGATTATACAGTCGTATCTGGCAATGAAAAAGGTGAGTACTGTCTCCCTTAAGAGTTAAACTAGCCAAGGTAACAGAAGAACTTGTCTTTTGGTGGCAGGTGTTGCTGTGTGTAAATGAGGAGATGGAGAGCAAGGATAAAACTTTGTCTCATTTGAAAAAAGCACTCGAATTTCTTTCAGAGCTCTTCAGCATGGACTTTGTTAATTTTCTTTGGTTATAGAGGTGGTGGTAGCTTGCTAGAAAATGGGTTCCTGTAGTCTTAAGTGAGAATAATTTGTAGGCTGAGGGAACTGAAATAGTTACTAGCAAGAAGTTTCCTCCCTGACAGTCACTTTTAGCCTGTGGTATCCTTGCACTTGCACCTATGTCAGGGCATCTGCCCTCCTCTTTGCAGCTGTGCTGCCACTCCATTTGGTGCACAGAAAAGGAAATCTTCTGAAACTGAGAGAAAATCTGGAAATAGGTGAAAAAGGACTTGTGCAACAAGAAGCTGCAATTGTCTTTTCCAAGTGTGTTGCTCCTTTACATGTTTAAGGCCTGTTTGGTCCAGGAGAGGACCCCAGCTGTGATAACTTTTCTGCTCAGCCAGTGGACGTGTTCTTCATATTCTTGAGAGCAGAGAACCTGTAGAAACATCCTAAGAGCAGCTAAGACACAAGAGGTAGGAAGGACACCAGTGAAATGGTGGCTGTAACAGTGAAGGTGCATCTTTTTCCTTTCAGGTCATTTTAGATTGGATCCAAAGAGTGGTCAGCTGAAAACAGCAACTAATTTGGACTATGAGGAAGTTTCTCAGTATGTGATTTTTATTGAAGCAAATGAAAATCTCTCATCTGCCACACAAGTCCAGCGTTCAGGTAACTTTTTGAAGGACATTCCAACTTAAATAGGGTAATGAACACTGTATGCAGTGAATTTCTGTATTTGCAACCCAGTATAGGAATTGTGATTCTTTTCAAGTGAAAAGTCTGATGTGAAAGATGAAAAGCTGAAGGCCAAGGTTGTGCAGAGAGAAGCCAGCAGCCTTCCTCCAAGGGTTCAAGGCCCTACTGTGGCCTCAGAAAATAATATGATAGCTGGGCACGGAACTCCTCAGCAGGAGCTGGAGGAATGTGCCTGTCCTGGTACAGCACGGCCAGCAGCAGAGGGCTGACAGAGGAGCTTCCTCACTGAAGCCCCAGGAGGAGTGAGAGCGAGCTCCTCTGGGCATATCCCTGCTGCCTTCCCTTTCTTCTCCCTCTTCCTCCTCACATGCAGCAGAGACACTGCTGCACAGCCACAGCCTGAGAGCTTTGAAAGCTGTTGCAGTGCCCTGGCGTTTGTTTACAGGCCTGCTGGCCCCCAACGTGGCAGTGCTGAGGCTGTGGGTGCAGGACGTCAACGAAGAGCCGCAGTTCCCCGGGGACGGCTACGCCGCGCGGGTGCCCAGCTCCGTGCCCTACAAGTACCCCGTCCTTACAGTGCAGGTAGTGTCTGTCTGCCCTCTTCAGTCCTTACAGTGCAGGTAGTGTCTGTCTGCCCTCTTCAGTCCTTACAGTGCAGGTGGTGTCTGTCTGCCCTCTTCAGTCCTTACAGTGCAGGTAGTGTCTGTCTGCCCTCTTCAGTCCTTACAGTGCAGGTAGTGTCTGGCTGACCTCTTCAGTCCTTACAGTGCAGGTAGTGTCTGTCTGCCCTCTTCAGGAGGTCACAAATCATTTGAAAAATGTGGATTTCTCTCACAGTTCAACCATTAACCACTTTGTTATCTATCAGGCCTAAAAAAGAAATTAATTACAAAATGGAGCACTTCTTTTTCTCAGTCTGAAGTTAGCCCTCAGTTCTAGCCTATTCCTTTTATGCTTGCAGCTCTATAATCCTCCAGGCTTTATGGTGAATATATTTCACCTTTTATACCTTTGGTCCAATTTGGATAGTTTCTGCCCCACTTTTAGTGCCAGGAGAAAAATACGACAGTGCTATCCTAGAATACTGATCTTACAGATTGAAACTGCAGAGTGTAATGATTGAAGAGCAATGTGCAGCCTGAAAGCCACCAGTTGAGTCTCACAAGTCACTTTTTTTTAAACATAGGCTGTGGATCCAGATTCAGGAGACAACGGGCTGCTGCTGTACAGCTTAGTGAATAATCAAAAGAATGAATTTGACATCAATGAAAAGACAGGGCAGATTTTTACAGTTTCCCTGGCAGGAAAGGCTGGAACATTTTACCTGGAAGTCCAAGCAGCAGACCAAGGCACAAGAAGACTCACTGCCCAGACAACAGTCAACGTAAGGAAGATGATTGCTATTTATAGTCTTGATCTGCTTCTGTGTCAAAAGTCTGTGTACAAGAAGGGGTAGGTTTGGTGAGGAAAAAACAATTACTTACCATGATGTGGTGACACGGGTGGATACACCATGTTGGATTTACTGCCTACTTTCAGGCTAGAATTATGAGGTTGCCATTTCCATTGACATGTAAAAATATTGTGACATGGAGACTGACTTTTAGAAGACAATTACTTTATATCAGAGGGGCTTTGGGAGCTGTTTTTGAAAGGCAGTTTACGAGAGGTACAAATGCTGTAGAAAACCTTGCATGTGATTTCTTTATTAGGTAACCGTTGACTCCAGTTCCAGTAACAACGTTGTGATGGTGGCACTGAATCAGAAGATCAATGTTGTTGAAAGAAATGTTGCTGAAGTAAAAAGGTATTTTTGAAAAGCTTGGCCCTCAACTTGGTGGAGGTCAGGATAATTTGAGGCAGTTCACAGGAACCCACCAGTTTTTACCTGGTGAGGCTTTGGCCTGGGCTGATTAATGTGAAGGAGGTCATTAGCCTAGATGATTTTGAGAGGTTCCTTCCCACCTCCATGTTTCTGTGATTTTTAACAGCCTAGGATAAAGTTTTTTATGATACAAACATGGAGACAGACAGGATGGAAGCCACAAACCAAACCCATCTTTGCTACATCTGAAAAATGCCCTTGTGACACAGCAGCAGAGCTTCTCGAGGAGGTCTTGGCCCTGTGGTGCCCAGGGATTAGCTAGTGATGTGTGGACACCCACATTGCAATTAAAACCATATTTGGACCTTTTGAGCATGTTAATGAAGGTGCTGGATGTACTATGCAATATTGGTTATGAAATCCAGATAGGAGCATTTGTGAATCCTTCCTTTCTCTAATTAATTATTCAGATATGCTAATGGCACCTATCCAAGAATTTTCAGGTGATGTACAAAAGTTACATAGCAGGTACTAATGGAAACTGTCTTTGCTTGCCACTCAGAGGCAACAACTGGATTTCTTGTTTTTCCTCTGCCACTCAATCACTCAGTGATACTGGGCCAATATCTTAATTCCTTTGCTGAGGATTATCCTGCAGTTTTACATGCCTAGATTAAAATACTAAATATCTGGCAAGTGTTGTATTAATACTACTTTTCTGTCATTTAATTTCCAGAGCAAAAGAACTTGTCATTGCCTAGTTAATTTGAAATGTTTTTTTTTAATATGATGGCAGGGTCCTAGATGAAAAGCTTGCATGGAATGTATACATCATTGATATTTATTCCAATGACTTTGAAAGAGAAGCAAGAAGCAGCACAGATGTAACTTATGTAAAAATTATTGCTTTTGATGAGGCAAACCAGGAAGTACCTGCAGAAGATATGAAAAGGTTTGTATGGCACAGGCTGTCGTGTGGGTGTCAGAGCTATGCAGATAGGTTTTGTTTCCCTTCATGACATTATCAATGTCTTGGACTGGACAGGCTGAGTTTATTTAAGACTTATCTTGAGGATTAAACAGAATTTTTAGAATTCAGAAAGCTATTTATTGAAATAATGAGTTTGTAAAAAATAAGGCTGTTTAATTATGCAAAATAGATTTAAAAGTCAGTTTTAAAGAAAAATGAAGCAGAAGGAGTATCATTTAAGTAGATAGTAACTTCAGAAGTGCAGAGTGTGTAAAAACCAGCATTTTAGGTGTGCTTTACACTTGTTTCATGGTATGACAGTGGTATGGATGTGTATTCATAAAAGTATTCAGTGAAGGACAGCTGCTACTTAACCACAGGATTTCTAGATTCAACAGCTCTCTTAAATGAGTAATATTGGCTAGTATTGCTAAGGGAGCCTGTGGCCATAGGAAGCACTCTGCATGCAGGAACCTTTTCCCCTGAGGAAAGCACCTGGTATCTGTAAGACTATATGTGGCTGCCTGGGTGTGGATTTAGAGGATACTTGCCTCTCGAGTTCAGTTTTCTGAATTTTGCAGCACTTTACTTCATAAGTACCAGGGCTGGTTGCTGGAAAACAGAGGGTTTTTTTCCCAAATAAGATAGGACAAGTCAGAATCTTTGAAAAGGGTCTTGGTGGACCAAGGAGTGGGATCTTGTTATTTTCTTCACTGCTCTTCAAGCCAAAACGAAGGTCTGATAAATGATTGGCTTTTTCCTCTTCTGTCCTCAGAAAACTTAGGGATCAGAGGGGTAACATTGAGCTAGAACTGGAGAAAGTATTTTCAGCCTCTGTGACTGCTGCTGTAGAAGAGGCTCCTGCAGGCTCGGCGCCTCCCGAACGCGTTGCAACCATCGTGCTGGGCGTGCTGCTGGCCTGCACCCTCACTGCCTGCCTGGCATGCGTGGCTCTGACTGCAAAGAGGAAAAGGTACACGTAGCTTTACTTTAACAATGTAATTTACACTTAAAACTAATGAGTTTACTTTAGACGTTAGCTTGAAAAATACTGCTCTGATAAATTACTGGTGTTGGCGTGGAGTACTGCCTGAGATTTGCTGTAAATCAGAACGCCTGTAAACATTAGACACACTGTGTGCAGCTGATGGTTTCTTCTTGTTTGTCTCACAGCAACAGCACAAACAAACACTTTTAAAAAGAGAAACAGGGATTGTAGACATTTTAACTGTGGAGGGGGTATGAGTAGCTGTAACATACCCACGTAACTCTCCTCCAACCCCATGAATGCTGAAATCAAGGGAGGTTTTGCTGCTGGCTTCAGTGGCAGCAGGACCACATAGTAGAGAACCCATTTCCAAGAGAGCAGCGGGTACTTACCCTGTGACCTTTCCAGAGAATAGGAAATGCTCCAAATCCCCAGAACAGTACTGACAATAAACGTTATATCATAAACTTCTGCCACAAATACTTCTGTTTTTAAAAAAACCTGTAAAGACAATCTTCAGAACTTAACTTGTTTTAATTTATCTATCATTTTCAGAAAGAACAAGCAACAGAGTTTGGTTAAGAAGCGAGCTGAAATTGTGGAGGGAATTGATAATCCATGTGCAGCTACAAAAAATGGAAGTCTGAAAAGCTTAGGGAAACTAGAGCACATGAATAATGTGTAAGTAGAATGCTGGTATCACAAATTTATACAGAATATCAGATCAGAAAATGTGGCTCTAGTTCATTCTGTTATCACAGGGTTTTCCTTGCATTTTCCACTAGTGTATAGATCAATTTTTAAGAACCCTTAAAAATTACAAGTTAAAACTCAATACTTGAAGGATGCTAATACTTTTTAATCTTTCTTGAAAATTACACGGGCAAATTCCTGCTTACTCTTTAGCAAATTGTTAAGCCTTGTGCAAGAAAAAAACACCCTTCAAGGTACAAGAAGCTACTTGGCCCCGGGTAAAATCCCAGTAATTTTGAGATCAGTGCACTTGCAGCTCTGAGTCTTACACTAAGATTTTTGTCACTTAACTACTTGCAGACTCAAGGGGTTATGAATTTTCTTAACTTCTTCCAGAACTGAAGTAATAGCATTTAGCAACATGGGAGACACCAAAGGAGGTGATGCTGACAACGACTTGCTTCAGGCTGATGAAAAATGCCGTTACCTCGAGCCAGTAGATTGCAACAGTGAACACAAAGAAAATGCAGCATCTGAGAAAGCTGCTGAACTTAGGAATGCAGATGTCCAGCTCGCTGCAGAATTCAGGACAAAACAGGTAATTAGCTTTTCAGAGCTAATTAATAATTAAAAGTTATACAACTTCTACTGCTTAGAATCAGTCCGTGCTCTTCTGTCTGTATCTTTCCACCTCATCTGTGTTACCTTTTCCCGCAGGATTGCTTTCCGGCAGACACAAATCAGGAGTCAGCCTTTTCCTTAGCACCTGGTCCCACAACGCGCACCCCTGAAAGAGAACTGAAAGGAGTAAAATTTGCAGAAGTGGCAGTTATTCTGGATGCAGAGCCCGAGGAGGACGATCTGGACGATAACAATGTTATCTTTTCCTCAGTAAGAATGCCTGAGGAAGAAAAAATTCAGGAAAACTCCAGTGATGGTCATTGAAACCATACAAAATGAGCAGCAAGAACATAGGAACGCTATCCAGATGCTAAATCCTGCTCCTCCTGTGGTTTGTGCCTAAGAGGCGGGCAAGACAGAAAACAGCAGTAGGCACGAAGGGCTGCAGGACAGCTGTGGTGCAAGGTTACTTGTCCAGTAGCGGTGCTATCCTGCAGTGTATTTAATTTCTTACGGGCTGTGTGTAACGGCAAGACAATAAAACCGCTGCTAACCGTGGTGTCTTGTCATTATTTGAGATGAACTGTTTCCCAGACATCGATTTTCTGTTCTTTTGCGCAGAACTCGCGGTCGGGGTCAGTGTTTGAGCAGCAGCGGCTGACATTTCCTAGGCAGAGGGTGCAGGAGCGGTCAGCTCGCGGAGGGCGGTCCCTCCGGCCCCGGGCGCTGCCCCCTCCCACGGGCCGGCC